AGGAGAACGAAGCAACTACAAAACTTGTAAAAAAACCAACAGGCCTGCATGACTGAATTCGAGGGCTTTTAAATTATTTTTCTTTGATGCAGTGATGAAAATTCTAAACGATGTGGAATAAGCGGTCTTCACACATTAAAAGATTTTGTGCTTGGATTTGGTCGTGATATCCTTCCTCTATCCTGACTTTGCTTTTTTACCAAATGTGTGTCAAAAAGGAGCTTGAGAGCAAAGGGAATCTTAATTACTCTGCTACATGTGCAGTAATTAATGCTGAAAATAAATTCCTTACAGGGCCAGATGATAAATCTGGAGAAAATAAGTTGGACACAGGCAGCATATGCTGATTTTATTTGTCATAAACTCGTATTGGCTATTGCAGTCCACCAGCCTCAAAACTTGTCTTTACACAGCTCTAGATGCAGGACTGTTGCAGAGTTTTTTTTTTGCTGACAAAATTTAAAATCTTTGCATGTCTATGGACTGGGTCAGAAATTCTGTCCAGCCTTCTCAAACTTAACGAGGTTCTGTGACAGCTGTGCAAGGACAAAACTATGTCTCAGACCTCAAAACTTTTTTAGACAGCTAAATCGGGATTTAGCTGCCCCTTCATTGAGCCGGGCACCAGGGTGGAAGACCACAGAATGACAGTGAGTCTAGACCACCATGGTTTTGTCAGTCACCAGTCCTAAAATAACAATGGCAGGAGCCTTTTTGCTGTTGAATACATGAATACATGACTCAGCTGATGGTGAGGAATGTGTAATTAATTAGCAGTTAATTGTTCAATAATGTTGAGCAGTCTTACTCATGCTGGTTGTTTCCTCATTTTTAGAAAACAGCTTGTCAGGCTGTACAGTTAATCTTTCGTGTGACATTGTAAGTAAAGACTCACCTTGGCAGAGGTATTTACAATTATAATCTTCCTTTACTCTAAACTGGTCTTCAACGGTGAAAGGTACAGTATGTGTCTGTATAGGATCTACAGTGTACTGTATGTACAAAGACATTTCTTGGCTGTGTCCCCATTGTCCTGGGAGCTGCAGGATGCTAAGAAACTATTCTTCAGACAAGCATGACACACTGAGGCACTCTAAATCTCATCCTGTTGAAGAAGCACTGGAAACATTGCTTTGACTGCACAAAACACATCACAACATTCTTTTGGGCTTTTTTTCGTTTGTTTATTTCAGTCTGCTTATGGAAGGATTCAAAGTTTTGTTAATTTTGTGTATGCATAGTGGGTCTAAGTGGGGATTCAAACTGAAATCAGCCCTGCGTTAAAACAGCACAGGGGGATGTGTTGTTGGGGGTGGGATCCACCAGGAATGCATTTGCATGTATTTTATTGGCTAGCCTTACCAGATGACGTTGCATTGCATAAATGCTCTCTGTGCCTTAGCAATACCTCGACAAGCTTCCCATCTAATAATAATATAATAACTAAAATAAAGCCCGAAAGCAGGGTAGGTTAAAAGCACAAGCAAGCGTTATTAAGCCAGTAACCCCCATAGCATATTGATAACCGTCACCCCTTAGCTAGCGCTAGCATATTAATATCATTCATCTCTTAGCAGCAGCTAGAGCAGCACACATAAACACATAAACCAAACTAGCGCTAGCACGCAACCAGCAAGCAACCAGCACATGCTAATCGCAGCAACCACGCTAGCTAAGTGAGCTGGTTAAGTGTTTAATTGTATTATGCCCAAGGAGTGCTAATGTAAATTAAGGAACAGCTCATAGTAGGAAAATATTTAAGGTGTATTGTTCTTATTTGTGTTAATATTAAAATCATTCAGCTTTAAATTGTTTGCTTGTTAGCCACCTGCTAATTATCTTTAGCTAGCAGCTAGCGCTAGCTTATTAATGCCTTGTCATTCTCGTAGCTAGCTGTGTGTGTGTGTGTGTGTGAGCAGGCTTGGTTGTCATGGCAATCAGGGAGCCCACAGCAGCGCGCACGCCCCGTCTCTAACTCCTCAGAGAGACAGAAACATTAAAATGAATCCCCCAAAAGCAGGCCAGGAACGACCAAAGAAACCGAAAAGACCGTGAGCCGCATCTGGACTATAGCAGTGCCGAGTTTCAGTGGCTAAATAAAAAACCTGGGGAGATTGAGAGAAAAAGGTTCAACGAGCGTTTTCAAGATCTCCTCTAATTAATATGGGAGTAGATGGGGCCGTGAGAGGGCGTTGCGGCGCATCAGTGCGTCTCCCGCCAAAACTATTTGTCTGACAGCTTCAGCAGTGTATCACTCGACCCCAACGGATTTACCTACGTTTCTATCTATAAATTATTCGTAGAGGAAATTGTGGCCATGACAGCAGTTTACAAATTTTTTTCAACAAATTTTCCTCCCCCCACACTCTAGCGATGACATCACGCACTCTGGCAGTTTTTCAGTTGGAGGTTCCGCAATACACACCCATTCATTTTTGACCGGTTTTGGCGATTTATCGGAAACCGTTTGGCGAAATTCTTAGAAAAGTCATAGCACTCGATCCCGGCCGAGCCCACGTTTGAACCTTTTTGTGTACGGCACAAAAGCCGGGAGAAGAAGCGCCAAAAACGACGGAAGAAAATAAAACTAGAAAATTCCTAAAGCAATTTGATGTGCCTCTCGGCCCATATGTTAATACCATGTCTACCACGCTAACCACTATATTAACCTAATCAGCCTCAACAGCTAAGGCTAACGAAATAGCTAACGCTAGCTGGGTTAAGTGTTTATTGTATATGCCCTGAAGGAGTGCTAATGTAAATAAGGAACACTCATAGTAGGTAAAATATTTAAGGTGTATTAAACTTATTTTCGTAATAATAAAATCATTCAGCCTTAAATTGTTTGCTTGTTAGCCACCTGCTAATTATCTTTAGCTAGCCAGCTAGCCTAGATTATTAATGCCATGTAATCCTCCCTATAGCATATGATAACCGTCATCCTCCTTACTAGCCTAGCATATTAATATCATGTCATTCTCTTTAGCTAGCAGCTAGACTAGCACACATAAACACATAAACCAAACAGGCTAGCTACGTCAACCTACAACGCAACCTAGCTAACCCTAATCGCTAGCTACATCAATCGCTACAGCGCTAATCGCTAGCTGAGTGCTAGCTTGGTTAATGTGTTTAATATTATCTCCTGAAGGAGGCTAATATAAATTAAGGAACAGCTCATAGTAGGGAAAATATTTAAGGTGTATTGCTTATTTTGTGTTAATATTAAAATCATTCAGCTTTAAATTTTTGCTTGTTAGCCACCTGCTAATTATCTTTAGCTAGCCAGCTAGCCTAGCTTATTAATGTCTTGTCATTCTCTGTAGCTAGCGTGTGTGTGTGTGTGGGAGCAGGCTTTAGTTGTCATGGCAATCAGGGAGCCCACAGCACGCGCACGCCCTCTCTGTCTCTAACTCCTCAGAGAGACAGAAACATTTAAAATGAATCCCCTCAAAAGCATGGCCAGGAACACCGAAAGAAAACCGAAAAGACCGTGAGCGCGTCATCTGTGACTATAGCACTGCCGAGTTTCAGTGGCTAAAGTTAAAAATGTGACCTGGGGAGATTGAGAGAGAAGAGGTTCAACAAGCGTTTCAAGATCTCCCATTTTAACATGGGGTAGATGGGGCCATGAGAGGGAGTTCTGGCGCATCAGTGCCTCCGCCAAAACTATTTGTCTGACAGCTTCAGCAGTAGTATCACGCGACCCCAACAAATTTACCTACGTTTCTATCTATAAATTATTTCTGTACAGTGAAATTTGGGCCATGACAGCAGTTTACAAATTTATTTTTCAACAAATTTTTCCTCTCCCCCACACTCTAGCGATGATGTCACGCACTCTGGCAGTTTTTTCGGTTGGAGGTTCTCGCAATACACACCCATTCATTTTTTGGACCGGTTTTGGCGATTTACCGGCAACCGTTTGGCGAAATTCTTAGAAAAGTCATAGCACTATTCCCCCGAGCCGCACGTTCGATACCTTTTTGTGTACGTGCGACAAAGCTCGGGAGAAGAAGCCCCAAAAAGCGACGGAAGAAAATAATAATAAGCCGGGGAAAATAGTATGTCTCTTATGCAAGGCACAATAACTAAGTATGGGAATAATAGTATTGTGCTTGCTGCAAGGCACATAACAACCGAGAAGTGCTAGCTTAACTCATTTTTTCTTTTCTCGCCGCTTGCTTATGCAAGGCACATTAATCCCCCATAGCATATTGTAACCTGTCATCCTCTTATTGCAAGGCACAATAATAGGAATAGTAGTATTGTGCTTCTATGCAAGGCACAATAATAAATAAAGTTTTATAAATAAAACTGTAGCTCCAAAACATGAAAATATCCTTACATTCACTATTTAAAAGTAACTTAAAGTCAAATATTAAGCAAAAGCACCAAAACTAAATTGTAGAAGAAGCAGAAGAAAAATGCCTACCTTCCCGGGGGAAAGTACAGAACATAAAAGTAAAAGCAAAGCTAAGTCTGTTTCATAGAATAAAATAAGCATTAAACTTCCTGTTAAATGCAGAACATTCCCTATTATAGGGAAGTGCCCAAACTCACAGAAACATATTTAACCCCAGGCAATCATCACTTTTGTAACCATAGGAAAAGATTTTAATGAGTACCTTTTAAAATAAAAGTTTCCTCTAATCTTTATAGGAATGTATTGTATTTGCCCTATTCAAAATAACAAAACAACACACACACTACTACACAGTGTCACATCATTCCCTGTCACATAACTGCTAAAAATATGTAAAAATAAGTGAGACAAATCTGATTTTAAACCCTCTAGATACAGAAAAGGTCTTACCTTAAGAAACTAAAGACTGTCAGGATGTTTCTTTCTTTTGAAAGCAAGTTATTCTTCTGCTGAAAGAAATAAGCAAAGTGCCTTTTTTGATGTTTAATTCACTGTATGTTTAATTTCTGGTGAAGATGTGGTTCTACAGTTTCTCTAAATTATCCTATTGACATCTATAAACTTCTGTGTTTAGGGGGCGTGTGCATCTCCCAGTCCGTCAAGATTCCTCGGGAGCCCAAGCAGGGAGAGTTTGACAAGGTCATTCGACGACTCAGAGAAAACCCAAACGCAAGAGTCGTCATACTTTTTGCCAACGAAGATGATATCAGGTAAGGCCGGGTAATAGCTACATAACACACCTTTGAAGATTAAAAAACATGACTGCAGCAGACAGTACAGAGCTGTGTGGGGACCTAGCCATTTCAGTCCAGCTCTGCCAGACCACTGTGTAATGAATTGCAAAACAAAATCAAAGTGGAGCTGGTCAGGATGATGACCTTATCCATGGCAACATCTGTTTCGTCACCTTTGCAGGCGGCTACTCCATGCGGCTAAAAAGGCCAACCAGACAGGTCATTTCATCTGGGTGGGTTCGGACAGCTGGGGCTCAAAGATCTCTCCGGTTGTGCACCAGGAGGAGATGGCAGAAGGAGCAGTCACCATCCTGCCCAAGCGGCAGTCCATCAAAGGTACAGAGAGGAGCATTGTGCTTACATCAGATATCCCTGTGTAATAAAACCATTTCACCACGCCAATGAAATGTTCTTTTCATGTGATGCAGAGCTGTATCTGTTAGCAGAAGAAAGTTGCTTTGTAATGCTTAACCATTCATCTTTTGATCATCAAAGGTCTGAAAACTAAAATCTAATAAAACAAAGCAACAAAGTAAATTGAACATGCAATATTCAATCAATTATACTGTAGAACACATCAGAGGTCTGGCTCACAGACGGCACCAACACTGTTGTTTACACTGACAGCGACTGTGTCAATGACAATGAACCCATTGATCTGTCTAGGGTTTGATCGTTACTTCATCAGCCGAACGCTGGAAAACAACAGAAGGAATATCTGGTTTGCTGAGTTCTGGGAGAACAACTTCAACTGCAAACTCAGCCGTCATGCCGTGAAGAAAGGGTCTGGCCTCAAAAAGTGCACAAGTAAGATATTCTCCTGTTGGGGAAAAAGCTGTTTAATGTTGTTTTTGTTTAAAATTTTCAACGTGAATTGTTTGGATGCTTTGATGAAGGTGACACATTTGGCTCATGGTTAAAGTCTTTTGACAGCACCTATAAAAAATGGAACAGCTATACATTCAATATTCAAAATCACAGGTAATCTCACAGCTCATTTCAGTGCTCCACTATATTTCTGCTGAGTCTAGGGTGTTTACCCACATGGCTATAATAAGTGAATGGCTTAGCTGGGCAGCGTGGTTAAAGCTTCAGGCTCAGTGCCATACGTTATACAGCTGTAGATAGCACTTTCTATCCTGAGGCTGAAAAACACTGCACATTTTATTAAGATTTAAACACCAATTAAGTAGTACAACATTAGTTTAAAAGATGAGGCTAGTATTATCTGGTGGTTTCCTCAAAGAAATCTCTGTTATCTTAATGGTTTTTTAGTTTAATTACTTTACAAAAACATACAGAAATCAGTCACTGTTACTGTTAATAGAGGTCAATATAAAGGATGCTTCCTCCTAATAAACAAACATGACTATGAAAGTGAAAATCATTTGAGTGTCAGGATGTGAGACATTATTAAATGAGTGGCATAATGTAACAGCTCATCCTGTGATCAGAGTACGTAATAATTTACTGTCTTGCAACCTAAAAGTTATACTAATCTCTATATATATATATATATATATATATATATATATATATATATATATTTAAAACAAGCTTCTGTTGTTTACTACCTAACATTAGCTACTACGACATAAACTAGGATTATTTATTCTACTGTGTTAGAGCTATACTTTTTTCATTACCAGATATTCATCACTAGTCAGTTAGTCACTCATGTTTTACAGAAATTAATGGAAGATTTTAAAATTATCTGAATAGATGCTCCAAAAAGATATTCTGCTGTACAATTACGTTTGTACGCAATAAGTCTGTATAACGATTGTCATTAGATAATATTCAATGTATGACCAAGAAGGTCCGAACTCTTAGAGCAGCACCAGACAACCTGCAATTGCTAATGTTTGCTTTTCCAAAGAGGGAGGAAGGCCATATTCTGCGAGCTCATATCACAACCTGAAAGCTAAATGCAGTAATTCTAATGCAAAAAAAGTTTACATTTACATTTACAAAGAGAACCCCATTTCAGATTATATTTATTATTATAATTTTAGTAGTACGGTCTAGACCTGCTCTATTTGAAAAGTTTTCTGAGATAACTTATTATGATTATTATGATTTGGCGCTATAGAAATAAAACTGAACTGAATTGAAAATTGAATTTATTTTTCAAACATGGCCTTGGAGTACATTGGAAATTAAATGTCACTGAACCCTATATTATGCACACACTGATATGAAAAGAGAGCAACATTTATTTAAAATTTTAATTTTTTTTTTAATTTTACAGTGAGGACAGTGATGTGCAACAAATAATGTGGACACTCATTCTCACATTCATACTTAAGGGCGATCACAAGCCTCATGACTGACTGAGAAATGTGTCTCTAGGCAGAAAACACACACACTCCAAAGAATCAAAGTAATGACCTTCTTGCTGTGAGGTGACAGTGCTAACTGCTGAGCCACCAAACTGCCCTGGAGCCAGATGTGTGTGTGCACAGTCTGCATACGCTACAGACACTAGTATTTATGAACAAGAACATGTCGTGACAGTATGTCAACAGTGCGTCCACACATGTGTTACACAACTTCATGTACGGCAGCACAGTGGCAAAGAAGAAGAAAATATGACAGAGGGAATCAGGGCAAAACTGCTTTTAGAGGGGGTAGACAAAATATTAGAAACACCTGTCAGTCACGCCATACAATTCAACAGCACCACAATCTATAGCTTCCAAAATGACAATAAAGTTTAATCAGCACTTATGTTTATTCATAACAGTATGTTCATTCTCAAAAACACAAATAACACAATCATACCATCAATCCATCAATCAACCAAACACAGAACAAATAGCACTGCCTCAAAAGTCAAATAGCACTTTACAGTTACAATAACTCTATACACAAAATAAATAAATTGCAGGAGGGAGAAAAAAAAAAGCAGATGAACAGATAATGAGGAAAAAAAGGAGCCTACAGTCACAGGAAAGAGTTATGAATCTATAGAGAGTGTCTTCAATTTATCAAAGTATTGTATAATCGGACTACACATAGATTTGAATTTCTCAAGATGTCCCTGCAGCCAAAACTTAATTTTCTCCAATTTTAGAAAGAACACTAGATCCCTCAACGACATACAGTAGAAAAACTGGGGGGATGAAGTGACTCCTCAAAATACTTCCAACAAAAATTTAACGTTGTGACCTTTGTAAAAGCAGGATTAAATGCAAGGCTGTTATGGTGTCTACCACTGCAGGCACTTTAGCTGTACATAATAAACTACTGTAGCAGCTGAGTGTACAGTACATTGTCTCCAAATGCACCAGTAATGGCTGTGCATTATGGTTGGGCAATAAGACGTAGATAGTTGACAGAAATCTGTGTCAGATATTTCATCGTACAGTTTATACCACGGGTAGCTATCCATTCGACGTCTCTGTTTGTAATAGACCAATCAGTGCGCAGGACTGCTTTATGGAAATATTGGATTTACAGCATATCAATGTGAGGAAGAAGTTTGTAGGATTAAGTGGCATCTAAAGGTCTAGTTGTGAGATTGCAATTCCCTCGTTTTACCCTCCTCTTCCAAGTGCGAAGGAGAAACTACGGTGGCCACGAAATGTGCGAAAAACTAGGTTTGGTTTGTCCATTTCGGGCTACTGTGGAAAACAAGGTTAAACATGACAGCCTCTATGGAAGGCAACCTGTGGCATCTGTAGTTATATAAGGTTTATTTTAAGGTAACAAAAACATAATGATTCCTATTTTCAAATGATTATATACTAATGAAAACATACCTATGCATATTATAATCAATTTCTGCCAACAGAGCCTCCTAAATGTTACACACTGGACTATTAATTCACTGGACAACCCACAAGCAGACATTCCCATCTGATTATTTTATCTCTAAAGGTTTCTCAAAGACTATATATTTATATCATTATACAGTATATTGTAAAATTGAATATGCCATGAATGGTATTATAATAAGATTATCACTACTTCACCCCTACTGTCTATAACAACTCAAAGGCTGCTTGGACGATGCTAGTGCCAGACAAAATTCAGTGATACTGATATATGTCCAGGTCTAACTGGGTATGATCGCATATATTTGATGTAATGATGTCCAATGAGAAGAGAGTGTGTAGTGTAGACACTCAAAACTCAGGGGAATCTTGATGTTTATTTATTTATAGAATCAGGATTATAAAAAGAAGGTTTTGGCAAAACAATAAACAACTGAAACAGTTCTGCTGAAACAGTACTGACTCACTAAATGCACTAGAGAGAAACTGCAACTTTTACTCAAGAGGTTGTCTTTAAAACCAACAGCTGGCATTGTCTTCACAGGCCCAGCACTAAGTACAAGAGAGAACACAGAAGCGTTTTATGTAGGGTAACACTCAGGTTGCTAAGATGATACTGATAGATGAGCTAGTCTTGAGATTGGTAGGAGTGACCCCTGGTTACCTGCCAACGGGAATGCTGACGAGAACTTGGGCAGGCTCCTTGGGGAGCTCCTGTGACGGTTCAGAAGCGTGCCGTCTGATCAGCGCGCTCATAACATGTTTTTATATTTTTACAATAAGGTGTAGAATATGGCTCAGCGTTTATGCATTGGTGTAAGGTTATATGGTGTATGTATATTTCTGATGTTGTGCATACATCAGCTTTTAGTCCTGAATCTAAATAGAGTTCTATTCATCTGTCCCTGGAGTCATAACACAAAATGTGACTGAAATACTGGAAAATGTATATAGATGTATATCTAGAGGTAATAGACGTTTGAGCAGTAACTGTAGATTCAAGATTATATAAATTATATAAATACATTTAGAGGTAATGGACATTTAAGCAGTAACTGTAGATTAAAGATTGGCAGTGCTGAAGTTTTCACTGAGTTTTCCAGTGGAATTTGGCAATGACTATCCCACCTTAAGTTTTAAGGGAAAAGACTGTCAATATTCCTGATCCCCGAAAAACCAAAACAAACAATGCGAGGGTTTGGTTGGAGATTTGGGTGTGTTATGGTTTTAGCAGCTAATGTAGCCTGGAGCTGCTAGCCTCAAGGAGCAATTAGGAGCGGGCTACAGAGGTTTGGCAATCTCCCTCTGAAGCCACACAAGGCTTTAAACAACTTCATTCACATACCCAGTTGTAGTCCTCAATAATGTAAACAGGTGGAGTGCCCCTTTAACAATATCTGGCTGGTGGATTTCTGTTCCGATTTTGGAGTAAGATATATCAGGATTTGTCTACGCAGGAAACATTTGTTAGAAGGATCATTTCATTGTTTGAAGTGCCTTAAATAACAGAAAGAAAAGTATAAAAAATAAGAAATAAAGATGGGCTGCTTGAAAATGTCAGGCTCTTCACTAGATTTATAATTTATTTGCAGACTTGTACACAAGTAAGACAAGAAGCAGTCAACCAAATAATGTGATAACTATACTGTAAGACATCAAAAACCTGGTCAAAGTTAACATAAAAGTAAATTATCCTTTGATGATTAGATACTTCAGCTATCTCTTTGTATCTAAATGTTCATGTTCTTTCTAAAATTAATAAAAAATACAATCCTTTGGCGCAAGCATACCAACATCAACATGGTAAAGACTCACTATAGTTGGAGTGAATGCAGTCAGTAGCTTGCCTTTCTCTACGGGAATTTTAGTGTTAAAATTCGCTGTCAGCTGTTCTGTGTGGGGAAAGAGAGTCTCGCAGCATGTATTTTGAGGTTAAAGTGTGACACTAGTGGTGCCTCTCCACTGGTGGAGAGCTCTGCCGTGTCTCCAAGGCAGCTGTGAGGAGGCTCATGGGGCCATGCTGCAGAA